CTCTTTTCCAGTCCAGTCCCTGTAGCTGAGCTATTTCACAGGAAAGCGTTTTTTAATCCATTTAACATTAATCTGTAACTCTGTTAATCAAAAAAGGCACCTAAGTCAAGGAATGAACCAGAGTTGTATCAACACATAACACAACTCAGAAAAGAACCAGTTTTAAATGATAACTTTAGGCAGCGCTAACAGCCTGCTGCAAAAACAAGTCGTTTAGTTGAATCTAAGACAAACGCCAAGGTTAACACAGTTTGACAGACATAAAATAGTACTTCTGTAACAGAAAAGAGCTAAAAACCCGACATAGCTCAGCATGGTTGTGATTTAAGGACAACATGCAGTATCACCTGGACACCACCGGCAACAGCTTTATTTAGCATGGCAACATTGAGGAAGAAAAGCCCAGCATGCAGACGCATGTAGGCAGATATAACACAATGCAAAATCTTCATTTAGGTTGAAAGCAAAGTGCAGACACTCAAAATCCATGAAAAGGAAACAGCAAACTAAATGCTTTGATGTAGAGGACACAGGGGGAAATAACACTATGACAAAAACAAGGACAAAGGAAGGACTGGGTCTATAAATAAAGATATATTAAAACATGTCAAAGTAAAGTGATCTTTCTCCTTTCACCTCAGACGGCTCGGTCATACGGCTCCTCACCAGCTTGCATCCATCCTATACATCACTGCACCAACTGCTGTAGTCAATACTGAACTTCAGCTGCCATACAGTTCAACCTGCCTCTGCTCTGCTTTCAGATTCTCTGAGATTAGTTACAATTTGCACTTTTATGGAAACAAAAGTATCAAAAGCATCAGCAAATAGTTATTATATAGGGAAGTGTGACAACAACAGAGAGGCCTGGTCTAATAAATCAGGAAACATCTTTGAGAAACTTTTTAAAAACAATTTTTTTCCAACTCTCCTTATTCTTTTTTCATTAATATTTTTAGCCACTGACAGTTAACCATGTAACACACTGCTTGAGTCTTTCAATTCAGTTGCTTTTTGTTATTAATATGTTTTAAAATACATTTTAAAACTAAAGATGTAGGCTGTGTTTCTGTGTTGATACATTATATTGCCAAAAGTATTCATTCACCCTCCTAAATCATTGATTTCATGTGCTCCAATCACTCCCATGGCAACAAGTGTATCAAATCAAACACCTAATCTGCTTCTACAGATACTTGTGAAAGAAATGGGTCGCTCAGTGAATTCCACAGACGGGCGCACCACCGTTTCGCAGGATGACAAGTTTATTTTCAGTGTCTGAGTGTTCAGAGCTCATCTCGGTACATGCTCATTTTGAGAGGACGTGTAGAATTTTTATTAGTCCTTTATTCATCCAGGTAAAAAAAAAATCTCATTTCCAAGAGAGACCTGGCAAAATACACAGACCACATAAGGTTGTGAAATAAAGGTTACATAAAAACAGAGGGATGGAGTGACCAAAAATGTAAAAATGAGAGCTGCCAGCGTTAGAATGACGCTAACGCCTACCCGCATTAACGCAGCAAATCTGCGTTAGTGAGTTAGCACGGATCGCCCCGTGCGTGTGGCTGGACGCGGTTAGCTCACTAACGTGTAGCGCGGTTAGCCGTGCAGCCCCACGCACAGGGCGATCCGTGCTAACTCGCTAATGCCGATTTGCCGCGTCAATGTGGTTATGGCGTTAACATCATTTTAACAAGATTAACGCTGACAGCACTAGTAAAAATCAATTAAAAATGAACATTAGATAACAACTCATACCTCAAGTTTAAACATTCATGTTTATTTTCCCAAATGTAAAGTACTCTCACTGATGCACTGCTGCAATTTCTTCTTCCAAACATGTCCAACATTACTGAATGTCAGCCGTACACCACCCTGATATTCAATCTAGACTCACATTGAACTCTGTAACATTATATATGAAGCATTTATCAACTTATTTCATTTGTAACAGCAGTTTCACTTGAACACACACATGATGTCTCCTTCCTCCAACTTCTCATCTTCTCTCTCTGATACAAACAGCAGTGAAGGGGAAACAGATTAATAACTTTGTCAGTCTGACAGGTTTGCTGTACGGTAGAAAAACAGGACTTCCTGAGACAGTGAGTTTATTAACAGCGGAAAAACAAGGTGCAAAAAACAAAACACGATTTCCCAGTGTTGATAGTTCCAGAATAGCCTTTATTGTCATTGTACATGTGCAGCAAAGTTGTGGGTTCTCCACACCGACTGTGCCAGGAAATAGTGGACCACAGGACTAAAGAGAAAACAGGAGAAATACACACAATCAAGAGGAATGTAGACAAAACAAGAGAAACAAATACTAAAAATAAAACAAAGGCACACAGAGAACAAAAAAGTTTCAGAGATGCGAAGAAGAGACTCGGTCTGAACAGAGTCGGTGTGTGAGGGGCTTGAATGATGGGAGTCAAGCTGGGCAGACACTGTGCGACTTTTTCAGTCGCACGATTCAGCTCCTGCTCAACCTGCACGAATGACTCGCAGAGCTTAGAAGTTGGTAGGTCACGATGCAGGGTCTCACACTAAACGGCCCGATGAAAGTTTATTGTTCTAACATTATGCTTTTCATGTTCCGACTAAAGCCGAAGCAGAGGAGGGGCGCTGTGTAATAACTCTTTACTGTTCCCACAGGTGCTTTCGGGTTTAAGGTCATTTGTTAAAGCTTTTACAATACTTATCGGCGATATTTCCATAAAGATAAAGCAGCCACCAGGCCCAGGATCCTCCAGCAGCCACCAGGCCCAGGATCCTCCAGCAGCCACCAGGCCCAGGATGCTCTAGCAAGGCACCAACAAGTAAATCAACAGTGACTTCAACGGGCCATCACAAGGAAATACCAATCTCATCATTTTCAAAATGCCACCTAAAAAAGCAAACCCAGGAGTTGAAGGCAATTAACCAGTGAGGTTAATTGCCAGGACAGGTCGGGTTTCGGCAACCCTCAAGGGTGCTTCGCAACCAGTGGGCCTTAACGCCGTTAAGATGCCGCCTAAGAGGAGCAACGTTAATGAGGAGGAACTGGAGGACATAAAGAAATCCCTAAACTTTATGTCTGAAGAAATAACAACAATTTCCAAACAACAAAAACTGATACTCAATTTAATGGATGATATTAAAGAACTAAGAAGGCAGAGCGAGGAAAAGGACAAGAAGATTGCTATGCTGGAAGGACGGGTGTCAGATCTGGAACAATATTCAAGAGTAAATGATGTGAT